GTGTGTGTGTGTGTGTGTGTGTGTGTGTGTGTGTGTGTGTGTGTTGTGTGTGTGTGTGTGTGTGTGTGTGTGTGTGTGTGTGTGTGTTCTCTCTCTCTAGATATCTGTGCATGTGTGAGGGTGTGTGTGTGTGTGTGTGTATGTGTATGTGTGTGCGTGCATACGTGTGTACGTGTGTGCGTGCGTGCCGGTACGTGTGCGGGTATTTATTTTTATATGTACGTGCATGTGTATATGCATGTGTGCGCACGTGCGTGTGCGTATTTGTGATTTCGTTATTTTTACCATAGCAGTAGCACAGAAGTCCAAACCTAAAGAGTTTGTCCGCTACTAATGATATATGTATGTGGGCGTGTGTTTAGGTGGCGGACCTCCAGTGGACTCGGTGAGAGAGGTGATCCTGCCCGTGGTCGTGCGACTCAGCCTGTTCCTCGTGATGGCGGCCTTCGCTGGAGTCGGCATCGTGCTAGCGTTCGCCTTCCTGATCTTCAATATTAAGTACAGAAATCAAAGGTAGGCTCCGTCTGATGCGCGCTACCGGCGCCAGAGCACACAGTCGCGCACACAACCTTTCGCATTCATACGCATGTACACGTATACAAGGCAACCACGCACATACGCACGCGCGCACACAAACACAGCAACAGCAGCAGCCCCACCACCACCAACAACAACAACAACTACTACTACTACAGCAGCAGCAACAACAACAACAACAACAACAACAACAACAACAACAACAACAGCGGCGGCGGTGGCTGCTGCAACAACAACAACAACAACAATAATAATAATAATAATAACAGTAACAACAATAACAGCAACAACAACAACAATAACAACAACTAAACATCAGCAGCGACAGCAGCAGCAGCAGCAGCAACAACAACAACAGCAGCAGTCGCAGCTCAACACGGGCCGTCAGTGCGCCTCTAATTCGCACGACAGCTCGCCTGGTGACGGGATGCGGGGCAGCTGCAGTTGCAAGCTGGCAATTAGGGGATTAGCACCGTGACGAAGGTCTTAGCGAGAAATTGTCGTTGTCGTCGATCGGCTGTAAACTGCTCGCGATTTGAGCCGTAATCCGGGTGATGTCATCGCGGTAGGAAATCACGAGTAGTTCGCACTGCGGCCGCACCGCATGAATGCGCGCTGTCGTCGCGCTGTTTTGACAAACGCATGGAGGGCCTAGCACTAGGGTCGTGTTATATGACCACAGTACATTGCTAACGTACGATGGGACATGCATAGATATCATATAACACACGCGTAAATAGATATAATACGTGTGTATAGATAGATAAACGTGTGTATATATATATATATATATATATATATATATATATATATACGGTGCATGGTTATTCAGGATAGGAATATAGGTATGGTATTGGCAGGGTATATGTGCGTGGTGATAGCTGTGTATACAGGAGCGCGGTATCAGCAGGGTATATGTATGTGCATGTTGGTGGCTGTGTATATAGGAGCATGGTATTGG